TCTCAAAAATAAATAAACATTAAAAAAAAATTTTTTTTAATAAACATTAAAAAAAAATTTTTTTTTTAAATCTAGAGACAGACCTTCACAAAAATTAACTCAAAATGGATCACAGATCTGTATGGAAAACTAGAAGATAACATAGGAGAAAACCCAGATGACCTTGGATATGATTATGACTTTTCAGACACAACACAAAGGCACATTTCATGAAAGAAGTAAGTGACAGGCTGGACTTCAGTAAATTAAAAACTGCTCTGTGAAAAACCATGTCAAAACAAAGAAAAGATACGCCCGCCACAGACTGGAAAAAAGTATTTGCAAAAGATATATCTCATAAAGGACTGTTATCCAAAATACACAAAGAACCACTAAAACTCAACAGTAAGAAATCACAGTACCTGATTTTAAATTGGCAAAAGACCTTGACAAATACTTCACCCAAGAAGATCTACAGATAGCAAGTAACCCCATGAAAAGATGTTCAACATCATATGTCATTAGTGAATTACAAATTAAAATAATGGTATTAAGAAAGAAACTGCCTAAAACTGAATTAAATGAATGAGGTAGGAAAAAAAAAAAAAGAATGAGGTAGCTATTTGTCTTTTGGGCTCCCTAGTATCAAAACACTCTTCCTCTTCTGAAGGAATCCTGAGAGAGACGGGAGGCAGTACCTAAGACCCACTACAGAAGCCAAAGGGAGCAGACCTAGATGCAGTAATCACATACTCCCAATCTCAATCTTGAGGGAGTAAAACAAAGATGCAGGGTTGGTTAGAGAAAGCTGCAGAGAAGTTGGTATTCCAGTAGGGCATGAATGTCTAAGACAGTAAAGTTCTAAAGGACAACAGTATTGTCCAGTAGTGTTAGAGCACTGCAACGGACCATTCCTGTTTAAAGATGTTGGGGGTTTTGCCAATTTTCTTTTTTAGCTCCATTTTACAGATTAGGAAAAAGTCAAGCGCAGAGTTTCAGTGGCAGGATCAGATTAAGAATCAGTTGGCAACATAACATGCATAATAAGTAATGGAGCTTGAAAAAGGATTCCTATCTTCTGACTATAACTCTAGTTCTTTCCATTTCACCAGAATGCCACAGCAGCAGCAAAAGGAAGAGAAAGGAAAACCACAGTCCATACCCTAAGGAAGGTAAAAGAAAAAAAAAAAAAA